TAAACCTATAACAATTGTAGTATGGCCTATATAATCGCGACACGTCATAGGGTCAGTCGATAGATTATAAGGTTTTTTCTGCAATTGGCTATTAAATTATTGGAGCTATATAAATATTATTCGCAATTAATATTTCTAGATGTGTCAAGTAAAGAGACTAAATATTTACTAAGTATTCAGAAATTAAGTCTTAGAGTACTAAATTTTCTATAATATATGGGAAAATGGTTTTTCTGTTTGTAAAGACTGTCCAGAGTTTTTTTGCTTAGCGAATGCTAAATGCATTTTGAATATCTTTGTGTAATGAAACATTTATGCAGTTATACTAAAGCTAAGTATTTTAAAATAAGAATAATTTCTTAAATTTAAAAAGCTTTTCTGTCTTCTTATATTCTCTAAAAAAAATACCACATGATCATGCCTATGAGGAAATATCCAACTAGAAAAATATTTAATAAATAATTATGCTGTGAATATTATAATTTGAGACAAATTGTATGAAATATATTTGTATATATTTTATATAAAAGAGATTAATATTTCTATGTTATTTAATTCCCTCTTGGTCACATTAAAATTTATAAAAAACAGAGGCATATTATATCGTCTGTCAATTTAAATTTCACTTAAATTATGATTTTGGGAGACAAACTAAAAAAGAGAAAAGCTCCAGTGATACATAAACTAACTTATTGGTAGGTCAAATATTATCTACCATTTCAATATTGGCTAGAGAATGTAGGTTAAATGCGGAGTAAGGGAGTTCATAGATAAGTTACAAGTTTTTAAATTTTAATATATATTTTTAGATTATTTAGTCCGTCTTTTTCACCGAAAGCTAATCTGTGTTTGCAAAACTCGTAATTTTAAATTGAACTATTTTGTAGGCTAATCTATTCTCCTTTCTTACAAACATTAAAGGTTTGCTACTACCTCATTGTTTCTCTACATCTATTCCCTTGAAATTGATAAATGCAAAACAAAGATAACAAATTATCCAATATGTATATAATTTGTAAGCAGAAATAATTACACACCTGATAATCCATCAAGATGGCGTCCAATAAGGGCGGTATAAAGTTGTCCATAACTAATTGATTGTCATTGGAGCGCGATACCCATTCGGCTATCAAATTGAGGGTCTCCTTCTTCACGACATGCATTGATTTGATCAGCGGCTGATTGTTCACATTGACGCCATTCACCTCAATGGCCTGAATGATGTTCTCCGATGTGATCTTGTACACATTTAGCATATCCAAATAAATCCGACCCAATTGAATGACATAGGCGTGACCCAGTGCTTTGCAGGCGGCCACATTTGTCTTCAGTATGCTGCCCAGCTGCTTAACGGCTGTCATGTTTTTAAGAAAATCGACATTTTTCGATGCCCGCGATATGATATCGTCCCACACTTGATTCGGCAACAGCATGTACCGTTCTATAAGCGCATCCTGTTGCACCTGATCCACTTGAGCAGAGATCATATAGCCGACTGCCTCATAGAATGTGTGTACCTTAAAAGGAAGAGTTTAGCCGTTTAATTTAGGCCGTCAGTGTGCATTGTTAGCCACGTCGCTTACCTGTTGCGGCTGCAGATCACATATTATGCTGCTCATAGTACTGAGAATCTCGTCAATGAAGGTGCACGCCTCGTTCGGTTGTATTGTAACAAAATAGCGACGACACTTAATTGCTATCTTAATGAATGTGTCGCAGGCCATGTCCTGGACACCGTCGTGCGTTTCGTGCATAAATTCAAACAGCTTGTTCACCACCGTCTTTAGGAATTTCCAATGGGCGCGAAGAAAGCGTGGATACTGTCCCACCACATACATAATATTGGACGCAATGATCGCCTTATTGTCCTTGCCCTTCTTCTGTTCGCAGAGTCCAAGCAGGTCCTTGATGACGGTGACCAGAAATCGTTTTTCATCTTCTTCACAGAATGCGCCTGCAGAAAAAATTGTAAAATATGTAAATTAATTTAAATTTCATTTTGATTAATTAACTCTTGCTTAAATTATCTTTTCATTTTGTTTGTTTCGTGTTTTTCAAGTTTTAATTAAAATAAATATTTTTAAATTTAATCGATTTTCAGATCATAAAAAATTAAAAGCTTACCCGATATTGAGCCAATTGCCCAGCATAGAGTGTTGAGATTTTTCCAGGAGAATTCAGTGCCATTGACCTGATTTAATAGCTTAAGGGTCATAATCCGATCCGTATCCGCACAATCCAAATGGGTGAGAAACACCAAGGTTTCCCTCATATTTTTGTACAAATTAATCGAATTGGTATCCTTCATGAATTCGCGAACCACTTCGCCATTCTCGTTCTCGACAACAAGAACTTCCTCTGGCTTGGCCATGCGAGAAATCATGATGAAGCGAACCTTAGACAAAATTGGTGCATAGAATCGACGCCGGGGATAAACTTGCTGTCGCTTCGATGACTCCAGTGTGGGTGGAAAGAATTCGGTATTGTACAGATTCTCGACAAGACAATTCCAGTATTCCAGACAGATTTTGAACACCTCCACATCCTCAACCTCACTGATCATGACCAGATACAGGAGTGCCTGGTTCAAGTAATCCACATACTTGGCATCTTCCACAAGTTTGCCATGCTCCTTGAGGAACGTGCAGAGGAACATGGCCAGATTCAGCACCAGCTCCTGTTCCGTATCGCTGCCGCACAGGAACACTTGATTCATATTCATATTTTGACCAATAATCTGGTCCAGCTGCACCATTGTGTCCTTGAACAGCGTTGCAAAATTATCGTTGTAATTGGCCGCCGATAAGCCCGCAATTTCGGATAGGCACTTCAGGGTTACATTGCGAAACATCGGAACGCTCAGAAACTTGAAGATCAAAGTCTCTATAAGCGTCGTCTCGAAGATGTAGCCCAATGGTATCCAGTTGAGAAAGCGCAGTAGCGTCTCTAGCGTGACCTGTATCAGCGCCGCGTTCATTGAATTCTCCAGCACAAACGAACAGAGGGTAAAAATTTGCGAAAATTCCGAACACATCGTATCCTTCAAATGCTTGGCCTTCGTCTGTGTTATTTGCCCGAGCGAGAAATCAAAGACCTCTTCGCTTAGATTTTTCAATATAACCATATTGTTCATGCACAGGCTCTCGTTCGTTTTCGATGCACCGACTATATCGCTGATGAACGTCTCCCAGTTGCGCGGCCATTCGCGCTTAAGGATCTGCACCAATATCATATTCAGCTTATTCAAATAAACTTTGTTCTGCTCCATGATGGCCGGATCCGAGGATGTTTTTATGATTAGGCTGACGACATACTTTTTGATGCCCTCGCATTGATTGCGTGGTAGCACCTTCCAGCGTGTCTTGATCACCTCCTCGAGAATTTGAAGTGCATAAAACTTGGTTTGCTGATTCTGTGAATATTCGAGTATACTGTCGACACGCGTCCAGGCCTCCGGATGCTCCTTTAGTGTGGTTAGTATGTCCTGCGCCAGTCGCAATTGCTCACCCTGCGACGAGTAGAGCGCCTCCACAATCTTATCGAGCAGATTAATGTCTAGCTTCTGGTTGAAGTCGAGCAACTTGCTCGCTTCATCGGAGCTCAACATCGCCATCGCTTTGTAGTAAAAGCAGCGTTCGCGTCTGCGTCGCTCAGCAGCAGCAGCACCAGCAGTCGCTGTGTCCGCGTTAATTTTGATTGATTTTCGCTTGCTCCTCCGGCTAAAACGAGTGGGGAATGCGCGTCAGTGATGAAATCTGTGGTAGCTGGCAGCTGCTGTTTGGTTGATGGGTCGCCTGGTCGCCTGGATTGACTCTATAGAAGAATCGAACATATCGAAAATTACATTTATCGGCATAAAGGCAACCATATTTCTTTTTTACATACATTTACGTATGTTTTCTTATTTTCTACACACATGTACACACAAACACCAATGAACGATTGCTTGTGGCGCGCTTACTTTTTTTTCGCACATACGAGCACACACACACTCTCACACCGTAGAGATGAGCGATATTTGCGTACCTGTTACTTATCCCAAGCATCTCCCAGTGCGCGAGTCACTAGTAGTTAAGTGACGAACAAAAATTGAAATCATTTTTTTTAATTTATTCTCAAATAAATTAAAACGATCGTGAGATTTGTGTTTAATGTCGTGTTTCATGTTTATATTAACGGGCAGGATCAGAAATCTGCATTATTGCTGCATGTCACGGTCATTTCAGATACCGCTCATCTCTAGCACACACAAATACACACGCACACACATGCCGCTTACACATGCAAAATACAATCAAAGCAGCGCAACGCATCTCGAGACTGCGACGGCATTTCACAAATCTATAATGTACGCACGGCTTTGGGTTGTTGTACAACACATTTGTTGTTTAATTAAACGCGCTCTTAGACACATTTAATTTATATTAACTTTCACACGCACTTACCTAGATTTAGAAAAGCGTTGCAACCTACGATTCCCAAGAAACAGCGTGGAAAACGAAAGCGCAAAACGAGTGAAAAGACTACAACGTTTTTGTCCAGACAGGGAAAAAATTTATTTTCATTTGCGAGATGCACAAGTCAATTTTAAATCTTTTGTCGCAAAATACATGCACGCTGAGCGATTTTTTGCTATTTGGTTAACAACGGTTGACGTTGTGACCAATTTGTATGTTTGAAACAAACTTTTTCGCAGTACTTTTCTTCTCCTTCTGTAGTGAAAACCAGGGATGGACCACAAGCGTCATGCGCGGTGCCGGAATCGAGTAGAGTTTATATAAACAGAAGTAAGGTATAGAGACCACAAAGTAAATAGGGAGAAATGCTTTAAAGAAGATTCTAAATTTTTTAAATTATGAAGTCAGCCCGTATTTAATAAATATCTACCGGCACAATTAACAAAACACAGTGTTTCCATATTATACAAACATGGAGCCCTGACTAAAAAACGGTTGTAGTTGCATATATCGCTCGCTTATCGTCCCCATGTTGTTTATTTTATTATCGAAGTTAGAGTTGCAATTATTCATGAAATTAAAAAAAACTGTGCTTATTATTATTTGTATTTGTATAATAATAATATAGAAATGCACCAAACAATCATAATTGCCAAAATGTGCACATATAAAGAATAAAAAAGTGAATTTGTTGTACATATCTGTCACAAATTGCCTCGTGACAGGCATGATCAAATTCAGCACTAGCTCATCCCTAATTTTATTGCAAAGGAATGTTTTAAGGGGCCCATAACATAAACAACTTTCGATATAGAGAATTTTATTGTTTAAAAACGATGTCGATTTATTTGCATTGCTTAACAACTAATGGCGGCTTACCTATATTTACACGCAAAAAGGGTGAATGCGACAACGTAAGCACAACCAATCACATGTGTACATATGCATAAGCCACATTTTGTTATGGGAATCGTTGCTTTCGTTGTAGTTGCCCTTTTCGACTGTGGCTTCTCTGAATGGCTTTCACATGTTCTTCAAGTCACTCGGCATACAATTGCAAACCACGCACACTGATGAATGGACGTACATTTGGCGTGACTTTCACAATGCGATCACGCTGATTGTGTGTGGCCGTGGCATGGGTGAGCTTCAGCTTCAGGCTCTAGCCGAGCTCGCATTCGGAGGGATTGCACTTTTTATTAGTCGCGACGAGTTAGCCCATCCCTCACTTATGGAACGCCTAAAGAAAGATGCCAAGAAGTATGTTCCTATTGTTGATGCTGCCTTGGAAGCGTCTAGTGCTGGCACAACCCTCCTGGGCTATACGGACTGTCTGCTGGCAACGGAAAACGCACATCTCTTGAATCGTTTGAATGAGTTCAGCTCAAATTGTGGTTCGTTGTTTTGCTGTCTCGTTGTGGGCCAGCGCATCGCTGTAGCCACTGAAGGCTGGTGGGACCTGGACACCCTTGATAGGGAACTGTTGCTCTTTCTGCTTAACTCTTCAAGCGCATTACAGCTCGATGTGCCCGTCTATCTGCCCAGCAAGAGTCCAAATATTGCCTTTCGTTTTGTCAGTGTCCCAGTTTCGGCGAACAGTGCGTTGTGTGTTCTTTGCGGAGCTGAATCTGCGTTCCGGGAACTGCATCTAAATGCGATGAATGCATATCGCAATGATGCCAATCTCCTGGCCAATGTCGAAAGATGCGTTCCACGCAGCCTTCCCGAACAGCTGGATATCGATGCCCATATATTGGCTATTATCCTGATTAATACAGAGACGCGTAAATGTGTCTTCACACGAAATCTGCATCAATCGTCGAGTGCTAAGCGAATTGTCGTGGGCGATTTACAGCGTCTGGACATGCTTAAGAAGTTCTTTGATCACACTTTAGAGAACATCCACGAATTAAAGATGGCCAAAAGCGAAAGCAACGCTCTAGACGCATTAAATGAAACGGTTATGTTGGATCAGTACAGTTGCTCCGATTATCACAAGTGTTATGCCCAGGCAGATGATCAAAATAATGTCATCTTTCTGCTTTTTGTTGCGGCAGTGCCCACACATACTATGAGGTAAGTGGAGTAACTCCGCTTTCTCTTTGACATGAAACACTAAATGTTTCTTTTCTTCATTTCTTAGATTTCTTGCAAAACAGGTCTATGCTAGTATATTGCAAGACAAAAGCGTTTGCTGGTAAGCGAGCATGGGTATGACTGCACAATACAATAAGAATTTCGTGGCTAGAACAAAATAATTGTGAAAATATTTGTTCATGAATTCTAAATATGAAAGTCGGACGAGGCATGCAATACCTTAGAAAAATCAACCTTTATTGAACAGTATAATAACGAGCTTATAAGACTGATCCTAATTGCCTTAGCTCTATTAAAATTCCAATATCTTATAATTTAAGCTGGTTTATTGAGCGATTATTTATAAATATAAATTTTATTTTAGTAATACTGGTGTTAGCCTAAATATGAATATATAGACGATTTCGTAAAATTTGTGTAAATGCTCATAATATAAGTAATTTATTGGGTGTCTTCTAACTGTAGAGAATTACTTTTAAGATTTATTTATAATTGAACTGGTGCTGGAACAAAAATATACTTTTTAATAAAATGTTAATATTTTAACAGATCATAGAGTTTTAAACTTGGTTAAATAAACTATAAAGAAACAGTAAGTATAAGCTGTCTACGCTATAGATCCTCTATGTTGTCTTAACTATTAACCTGAATATTACATTATTAGCAGTAGAGTCACTAACCATACAAGTGTGGTTCGTGGTAGGACCTCTGAAATAAAATCTTCATACAATAGCACTCTCCTACATATATAAAGAATAAACCGGCGATTTCACACGCATATACTAAGTTTAGTGCAGGTTACTAAGTTCGTTCAGTCGAGTCTTAAGAAACCCTTAAGGCTACTATTTGTAAGGGGTTTACTGTACTTATTCATACATACTTGTAAAAGTTATTTAAATTGTTTTGGTCAACCGTCATTCATATCCATTGTATTCCCACTCCCAATCCTGTTCCCATAAGGAAAATGTTTTATTTGTAAACAGTTGTCAAACTGTATTTGTATTGAGCCCGACGATGTCAAATCTAATAAAAATAATTACAAATTATAAATTCAAAAATGCCATCAACAATTTCAATGCTAATTTGCACATTTCCAGCATAGTCACGACTCTGGGCAATGCTCGCAGCTCAGACCATATACGAATGCCATTTGCCTCTTACTTACAAAGCCGAACCATCCAAAGGGGAATAACAAACTCGTAAAAGCAATTTATCAAACACTTGCCTAGTGGAAAACGCTGCGAGGTAAATAAATTAAAAAAAAGAGTTTTGGGACCCAATTTGACCTCGTTTCAAGAATGATCAGCAGGTGTCTTTAAAGTCGTCAGCCAAGGAGTTAGGCCGTCCTCTAATAATTACAGCACATTCCATTTAAATTTAAGCTAAACTGTCCGAAACACAGTAAGTGCCCCATTAAAATGTTCAACGCGTTCGGCTTATAAAACTAATAAATAAATAAAGCCAAATCAAATGTCAATTGTATTTTTTAGCAATCAGTGCGCATTCGGCGCGCTGTGTGTGCTGTTCGATGTCGGAACACTGAAAACGTAAAAAAAAACTTAAAAAAAAAAAAATAATTCAACAAAATTCAATGTCAATTTTTTGTGGAAAAATAGGACAATAAATTTAAAGAGATACATCTATAAGAACTGCAATCAAGATGCTGTTTCTCCGCTCTACTGAGGAACACACAGACGAGCAGCTATTCAAAATCAAACAATTGCGTCAGCTCGTAGAGAGTAAGAGATGATTTTATACTCGATAATCATCAGTAACATCCGTTATATTTAATGTCATATTTAATGTTCACAGAGTCTGACGAGTTGGAGGTCGGCACCGATGATATATTTTTGACTAAGTTTCTGTATTACACCAACTGGGATACGTTTAAGGCATATCAGGCTATACATGCCTATTATGATTTTAAACTGAGGCATCCCACCTGGGTGGCCCAGCATCCCGTACAGTATTATGCGAAAATATTCTTTGCTACGCAATGTCGTTTTGTCATGCCCCATACGGATAAGAATGGACGTGTGCTGGTCATCTTTAAGACAGTGGATGCATTTCAAGAATTTCCCGATTATTTGCAGCATTTGGTCGAAATGGATGATCTCATCTTTGAGTCAATGTTAATGTTGCCGAGAGTTCAGAGAAACGGCATAACGGTGATTTGTGATCTTCAGGGGTTTGTATTGAAGGGAGACACAGACGAGAATGAATTTGTGAATAACTTTAATTACTTTGACTTTCTCTGCAGTACAACTAGAAACTTTCTACGCCAGTTCTCGCCCATGTTTATGAAAATTGTGAATGAGAAGAATACAGTTCTGCCCTTTTCCCAGCGAATTGTGCATATCATACAACGAGGATTTCTCATGCACGTCACTTCCTCGCTATTTCTTCCCTTTATGAATAAGGATTTTAAAGATCGGGTAAGTGTCAAATCAAACCGACATTTTATCGTAATCCTATCGAATTTTATGCCAGATATTCACTCACGATGGTCGACACTTAAACAAACTGCGCGAGATGGTTGGAGTTGACTATTTGCCGGCAGAATATGGTGGCCCGGCAACTAATGTGCTCGATACAAAACTGATTTTTAATCATTTAAGTCAAAGTGCGGATTACTTGGAACAGTTACAACAATATAAAAAGCGTTGAAATAGAGAATAGAGATGATTCAATATACAATAAATAGAATTAATGGCTATTAAAGTTTTGAAAACTTTCAGACTAAATCAATAGAAAATAAATAATAAAGGTACCGCACAAAATCATTTAAAACTGCAGATTATTCACTTTACTATAGAATAGATGTTAAATGTACAGTAATCATTTTGTTTTCAACTCGAAATTTGTTTACTTCATTATTTCAATTAAACTAATTGTGTAATTGTTCGAAAAAAATATTGAATGGCTTAAAAATGGCAGAAGTTCAAAAAGGGACGTTAGATAACTGCAACGTCTCTTATTTAATATCGATTATTCAATAATCAAGAGCGAATATATGGCGCCAATTTGATTCTTCTTCTTTTCTGCTCATTTGTTGCTCATAGTAATAAATCGATAGTTACATTTGCTCTCGATAACTTGCGGTGTATTGTGAAATTACGCCGCTTCCCTAGATAAAGTTTAACTTGATCAAAATCTGCTAAATGGCATCTAATAAGGTAATTGAGAAAATGCAGAGGCAATTAGGCAAGCAGAGTTTTATACATATTTATCACTTCTGCAGGAGTGCTTAATTATTGTGCTAGACGTACGAAACTGCGCCGCCGAAGAATTCAAATTAAAGTCTGTCAAATGCGTTGCTGAAATCATAAAGGACAAAGTAAGACTATTGAAGGCATACATATTGATTCCAGATAGATATTAATACAATTTCCTTCTACCAGATTGTCAGCGACAAGAAGGACTATGTGTCCTTTGTGTTAGTGGGCTGTGAGGAGAGTAATAATGAGCTATATGAGGCTGATAATAGTGTGTGTCAGAACGTGCTTCAATATGAAAATACCCAGCTCTGCACATGGCAGCTTTTGCTTCGCTTCTTCAAGTTCGTCAATGCGACAGCCTGCGATGAAGGCGAATGGCTTGATGGTCTCGACGTAGCTATTGCTATGCTACACTCAGCCCAGCCGTAAGTTTAAAAGGATAGCTATAAGCATATGAAGACATACATTGTATATATTTATTGAATTGATTTATTTACAGTTTGAAGTGTGCGAGGCAGCGAATTTTGCTTCTCTACGACTTCAACTTCATGACACAGAGACACGATGACTATGACAAAATCTGTAGCAAAATCCTTCATGAAAACATTGAGTTAATCGTTGGGTAAGCTACACTTTTATAGAATAGGTGAATATTGTGTACTAATCTCGCTTTCGACTGTTACTCAGCTCCCACAATATTGCTTACATAGACAATGCCGAGACCAACCAGCCTCAGGCTATATTTCAGTTCACGCGAAAGTCCAATATCCATGAGCTGGAGAATCAGAAACATGCTCTGCAACTGGTGAGCAACTGCAATGCGGTATTGTGCAGTTTCAAGGAAACCTTAGCCTCGGTCTTCAAGGTGTCCAATAGACGGCCCTGGGTTTGGAATGCTAAGCTCCACATTGGCAGCCAGATTTCGATTAGCTTACAGGGCATTATAGCCATGAAAAACGAAAGTCACATCAAATTGAAGAAGGTGTGGGGCGAGGATGATGAGTTGGTGGAGCGAGAGGAGCGCTTTGTCATTAAGGGCACAGAGGTTACGCCCTTACCTGAGGACCTGATTGATGGCTACATGCTGGGCGGCACTCCAGTGCCATATGATGAGACGCTGGTTGAGCTTCCGCCCGCCCATGCGCCAGGTCTGCATTTTGTGGGCTTTGTGAAGCACAGCAGTATACCCGATGCTTACTTCTGTGGCGACTCCCTGTACATGCTTGTGCATCAGAAGGGCAATACATCATCTGCCCAGAAGCTGGATGCATTGGTGAGGGCATTGATTGCCCAAAAGTGTGTTATACTTTGCTGGAAGATTTTCAGTGTCAAGTTTAATACGCCACGGATTGTAGTGCTTATTCCACAAGAGTCCAAAGACGATAGTCCGGCCACCTTATATATGCAAGAGTTATCCTATCATGCTCAGCACCAGTTCTGGGATTTTCCCTCGCTACGTACCGAAAAAACTGAGTGTAACAAAGATCAGCTAAAAGCTGTTGATAACCTCATTGATAGTATGGATCTGGAGTGCACACTGAAGGATACCCAGCAGCCTAGGCAGCGACGAAAGAATGATCTGCTGCCATTTGATGGGCTGCCCAGCATTTTTGAGCAGAATGTGATGGACGTATTGGAATACAAGGTTATCTCCAAGAAGAAAGACGAAGAACTGTTCGACGAAATGCTAAAACAAAAAAACTTCGTGGATGTCTTTTGGCGTGTGCCTGAACCAATTGAGGAAAAGTCCAAACAGGCCGCTGCAGCACTCAAGAAACTGTTTCCGTTGGAGCACAGTTATGCTTGGCTAGAGAAGCTCAAGGCCAAGGAGCAGGAACAGAATCCAGCGCCAGCCATCAAGCAAGAGAGCGAAGATACCATCACTATCAATAGCGTGGGTCTGATGACACCGGTTCAGGATTACAAACAACTCTTACAAAAGGTGAGGTCCGAGTTGAATACTACCAAACGGGACGCTCAGTTCCAATCGTTAGCTGCTCAAATGCGAGTAGTTATTAATACGTTGCTGGAGCGCAACAAATTGGACCTCAATCAGTTGAATGAAGTGATCAAACTGTACCGAGACAGTTGCCTTGAATTCAACAGCTTTGCGGAGTACAACCAATTTGCAAACCAGCTAAAAACCAAAGCATCTGAGAGGAATCTCCAAGAGTTTTGGCATTCCATTGTGGTGGAGAAGCAGCTGGGTCCTCTCGTTTTGGGAGAGCCAACACTGGAGGATGAGCTGCGACTGAAAGCGTTTTATACAAAACCAGAGTTTGAGGCTGATGATGCTGGATTTCAGGGTATATAACACGTACAATACATTTAAACAGTTATTCCATTCAAAATGCACAAATTTACACTTCAATCACTGAATATATTTCGTTTTTCATGAATTTTAATATACATTTACAATTCCACGAAACGAGTGTGGGGCAAGGGAATAAATAATCAATTGAACAATTGCATTTGATAATTTGATAATTTTTTTTTTTTCGTTGATGAGTTGCATTTATATGTATATTAATATATTAATTTAAAATGTAAAATTATTTAGCCAAAGAGGAGCATAAAAATTAAAACTTAATAAGGAAAACGACTTAAGGAACGAACATTTTCAAATCTGCGAATCTTAATAGATGTACACTTAATAGTTTATGAATGGGAAGTGGATGTTAAATAAGCAATGCCATTTATATACATTGCATGTAGCTATATGCATATGTGTGTGTATGTATGTGATAAACATTAAATATATTAATTTGTTAACACAATTTGTGTAGAGGTTCCAAGCAAGTGCACGCAAAGAATTATGTCTACATATGTCTGGTGATGGAGCCAAGAGCCACTTCTTTGCACTGTGCGTTTTAGTCAATGTTCAGTGAGGACATTAGCTCCTCCACGCTGTTGGATGAAGACGGAAACTAAGTTTAGTAAAATATATATGACCAATTGTGTACAATGTGGCAGACATACGTAATATCTAGATCCTGGAAGGCAACGCCAAGCCAGGCAACAACGAGGCAATAGTGCTGGAATAGTTGTAGCAGCAGCTCGCCCTCATCCAGCATTTCGAGGCGCTCAATGCGTTGGCGCTCCGATGACGAGATGCTATCGTACACCTGTACCATGTCCCAAGCGCGTGCTCCGCTCCAACCACAATCCTTGAACCGATTGGTTTGCGTCTCCAGTGACAGACAGGATTCAACGCCCGCCAAACTACAGCCTCGACTGCGCAGATTATTAAGCATAACATCGCCGAATCGATCATTCATGTTCACCTTAATGGAGATTCCATTGCTAGTATGAACGTAACCAAGATCAAGTTTATATTCACCTGTTCATAGTTAACGAAGACGGCTGCTTGAAACTTCTGCGCTATCCATTTGAGCAGATTTCGACAGTTTTGAGCCTCGATATAGACCAGCACACATTCCGCCAGAAATATGGTGGGCAGAGTGAAGTCCACTTCGGCCTGCTGCAGCTTATTGTCCACCTCGTCCAGATTGCGCAGATCAACGCCCATCAAATGATAGTTGGGACCATGCAAATCTGTCGGACTGAGACGCACCTCTCCATCCTCGTCGTGGATTTTGGCCAGCAGCGCCTTGTTGCGTTTGATTGTATAGCATTTGCGCGCGGTCACTGTGGGAAAATCTAGCTCAATGAAATTCTTCACCTGGTGGGGTGTGTCCCGCAACCGAAAGTAGAGGGTATCAAAGCCACAGCCAAGGTTGATGATTTGGCAATTTCCAGACGTTTTCTGCAATAGTCATGGTCAGGTTAGTCAAAGGGCAAGGTTATATACATATATATGTAGCTAGGGCGCGATGCATGGCCACAACACATGCGCATCAGCATCATTTTTGCCAATGCAACAGGATGGAAATAGCATTGAAAATTTCAATGCGACAGTTCAAGCAAACCCACGACCCTAACTCCTGCCTATTCAGAAATCTGGGTGGGGCAAGCAAGAGCCAAGGGCAACACAAATTGCCTGAGCGATAAAAAGTTTATCAGCCTCTTGTTTCTTTTCAAATTAAATAAATTGAGCCTTGTTCAAAAAACATATCTATCGATAACAATTAAGAAACGTTCAAGGTACAAGTATTCCGAGATTACTTAGATTATCTACATCGAACTACTTTAAAATAGAATCTTATCGATAACACATAACACATGATCAGTATGAACAGATGCTATAATTTTTCAAATTCGCTTATTGCTAAAGCTCTTTCAGCAAGTAAAAAATAAGAAAACTTCTCCAATTTCAGTTAATAATAATTGATACTCAATTTGCTTGGCTATCTACAATAGGATGCAGCGAATATTCATATCGCGCATGTCCCATAAAATTTGTTTTGTTGTGTGCAGCAGCCTTCAGCTGTAAATGCAGTAAATACGACTAACCTTCAGAAACTTCTCCACGCACATCTCAACGCCCTTGACGCGTGCAAAATAGCCGCGATTTATCTCCGGTGCCTTTCGCTCCTGGTTGCGCACAAAGAACCCAATATAGTCATCTTTCCAGTAGCCAAGGCGCACAGCACCTCGTTTACAATCGCTGGC